CAAAAACAAACAAACAAAGCCTCAAAATACAAAGGCCCAGTCAGGCATGGTGTTGCACAATCGTAATCCCAGCACTTTGGGAGGCTGAAGCAGAAGGATCTCAAGTCTGAACCTAGCCAAAGGGAAGGTGGATGCAGCTCAGTTCCAAGTCCCCAGGTTCAATCCTCAGTACCAGAAAAAAAAAAAAAAAAAAAAAACAAAGACCCCAGATGAGTCTGAGTCATAGCCAGGCACAGGGACACTGTATGTGCACAGAATATGTACATGTAGGCAGGGGACACACACAGGATTCATGGGGTGGGCGGAGCTGCACAGAGAGACACACGTATGCATGTGTGCCCAGAGCATCCCTGGGGTTGTACCAGACACACACAGAGAAACAAACACTCACAGCATCTGGGCTGGAGGAGAGGGAGAAACAGAGGATGCCTGGGACTTCACGTGGGCAGAAGCAGACAGAAGCATGCGTGAAACACGCCCGGCTTCGTGGGGTGCCGTGGGGGTGGGGCAGGTCTTGTGTGTCCCCCTCCCCCATTTTCTGGAAACAGTTCCCTCTCTGCGGAAGCCTGGATGGCCACAGAAACGCCGTAATTCTATTATGACTTTGTTTTCCTTGTTCCCTGAAGCTCTGTCTGCTGCTTTCTCCTGAGCTCTAGCAAGAAGAGTCCCTCTCCCCAGCCCGTTCTGGCGCAACCCATGGCCCCCAGTGGTGGCTGTGGAGTCCAGCTCTGCAGCGGGAAGCCCAGCTTATCAAACAGGAGCTCAGGTGATTCCTCAGGATTCCTCTTGCCTCAGGGAGCGGGAGGGGCTTGGGGTCACAGGGTAGGAAGAAAAGCACTGCTTCTGGGGACTGAGATCTGCATCTGCTACTACTTGCTGTGTGACCTTGGGCAAGTTACTATTCTCTCTGAGATTCGGGTAATTTCTCTTGCTAAATCGTGAGCAGTGGCGAGGCGGGGAGGGGCACACTCAGGTGTCTATGACCACTTTCCACTCCAGTCCTGGGGCCTGGAAAGGCAGACCTTGTTGTCTCTCTCATCAGATTGAGGGCCCTGGGCTGGGGATTTAGCTCAGCGGCACAGCGCCTGCCTGGCAAGCGCAAGGTCGTGAGTTCGGTTCCCGGTACCGGAAAACAACAACAACAACAACAACAAAAAAGATTGAGGGCTCTGCCTCTTCCATCAGACTGGATGCATGCGGCAGCTCTTCCTGACTCCGCCGTGGGACGGTGCTAGGGTACCGAGCTGCACTGGTGTCCAGGGGTGGGGGTGGGGTGTCTGGCCAGCCCAGCGAGCAAGCACAAAGGAGTGGACTCCCAGCTCCCTGCACTCATCAAGCTTTCTGATTCAGCGTCTCCCAGTGCCAGACCTTCCAACCCCTGGCCCAAAAAATGACAGATGACTTCACTTCCAGGGTGGGTGCTGCTCCCTGGGAAACCATGTGGGCCTCGTTCCTCCAGCTCCATCCGAACCCACCATTCACTGTGGCTGGACTGCGGGTCGGATCCTTCACCAGCACAGGACAATTCCACCCTGCTTGCAGCTGGTAGATACCACACCAGCTAATGGCAAGGCAGGGCCCACGCATCTGGGTGGCCCCACTGAGACTGTGGGCTCTCCACTGGAGCACACCCCAACCTTCCCTGCCCCGCTTTGCATCGTGGCTTGACCTGAGGTGGCCAGAGAGCAGGGCCCTGGCTCCCCTCCTCTGGGGGCTCCTGGGCTCCTCTTTCACCTGCTCACCCCACCCAAGCCTGGTGCCCCCATCTTTGGGGGGAAGGAGCTCAGCGCATGGGAGTGGGCAGAGGACAGAGGAGTGGGGTGGCCTTTGGCCAGGCCTTGTCCCCCCACTGCCCTCCAGGCCCACGCGAGGCACCAGCCCACTCCCCTCACTGGACTTGGGCGGGAGCTGCTTGCTCTGCTCCTGCAAGCCAGGGCCTGCCGTGGACTTGTCCTCCCAGCCCTGGAGCCGCCGGGAATTCTTTGCTCCGACAAATCCTTGGGGAAGCCAGACTGCACAACCTGCTGACAAGCCTCTGCCCGGCTCCTGTCACATTCCCTGAGCCCAGGGGGATCAGCTGGAGCCACCTTGCAGGGCTCCTTCCACCCTGTGACCCTGAGTCTTTCCCTTGCCTCCTCGGGGCCTTCTCCCACCTCTCCACGCCCTGGATTCTTCCTTGGAACTCCTCCCGGCTTTGGGTCCTTGGACAGACCCACCTGAGAAGTGAAAAGTTTCCCCTCCGCCCCCTTGCCAGGTAGAATTGGTCTCCTCTCCAGAGAGACTTCTCCAGTCTCCCTGGGTCTGTGCTCTGGAATGCAGATGATCCGCTGAGAGCCCTTGGGCTATCTACTTCACCTCCCTTGGTCTCTATTTCCTCACCTTTGCAGGGGGATAATGATCAGAATTCATAGGTCATGCAGACAGGGAGAGAGCACCTCGAGCACCTCGAGCACCTCCAGGAGGAAGTTACGAAATGCAGCACCTGTGCCAGGAGATAAGGTGGCTTCCTCCTTCACCTGGCCATGTGAATTTGGTGGCAGAAGTGTCTGTCTTCCCATACCTGCCCAAGTTCCCTTCTGAGCCACCAGCTTGCCATGTCACATTGCAGAATATAGTTCCTTCCACCCCAAGAGCACCATATAATAAAGAGCAGGATTCCAGAGTTCAAGTCCAACTTGATGACCTTGGGCAAGCTTCTTAATCTCACCTTCCTCAG